ACATCCATGTGTATATACACACACATTCCCCTTAGAAACAGATGTTCTCATGTGCATGTACATACAAATGGCATGTACATGCTTAACCAGTGCAAGGGCATGGGTGCAGGAGAGAGAGAATCCAATGAATAAGGAGCAATAAGAGGTTCAACCACAGCATGCATGAAGAGAGTAATTCATAGGGGGCAGCTAGATGGCGCAGTGGATAGAGCACCGGCCCTGAGGTCAGGAGGACCTGAGTTCAAATCCGGCCTCAAACCAAACACTTGACACTTACTAGCTGTATGACCCTGAGCAAGTCACTTGACCCCAATTGCCTTGCCAAAAAAAAAAAAGTAAAAAAAAAAGAGAGAGAGAGAGTAATGCATAATAAGACTAGCATGGTAAGTTGGAGACAGATTATAAAAGGCTTTAAAGGACAAGAGAAGAATTTGCATTTGTTCTTAGAGGTCATAATGAGCACTGGAGTTGATTGAGTATAGGAAGAACATGATCAGACTTAAGCTTTAGGAAGATTACTTTTTCAACTGTGGAACTTCCTATTGGGATGCTGTTGCAGTAATAGAGAGGAAAGGGATGGCCATGAATTTGGGTAGTTGCTACTTGAGTGGTTGAGAAGGACACAGATGTAAAATGTTATAGAGATTTGGCAACTAATTGGATTTGTGGAGTGAGAATAAGGACAAACTTGGGTGACTGGAAGGCTGGTGCCTTCCCAGAAATAGGGAGGTTTGGGAGGGAATGTGTTTTGGGGGAATGATAATCATTGAGTCAGTCACCAAACATTTATTAATCACTTATATACCAGGTTCTGTGCTAAGTGCTATGCATGCAAAGAAATGTAATAAAAAACAAAACAAAAACACCTTCCCTGCCCTAAAGTACCACACATTCTAATGAGAAACATGAAAATGTATGTGTGCAAGATATAAATAGGGACAATTGGAAAGTAATATCAGAGGGGCACATACTAGCAGAGGGGAAGTCATGCCAGAAAAGAGAAGTCAGTAATTGATGGTGTTAGAGAATACAGAGGGATCAAGAAGTGTGAGATTGAGGAAAGGCTATTCAATATGTTCATGGGGAGATCATTGGTAACTTTGGATTTCAGTATCATTCAATTTTCAGTTGAATGATGAGGTGAGATTGCAGAGAATTTAGAAAAATTTGAAAGGAAGTAGAAACATCTACCTAGTAGAGAAAGCTTTCTCAAGGAGTTTAGCCAAGAAGAGAAGGAGAAATAGGATGACAGCAGGAATGCTGGGATCAAGGGAGATTTTTTTTAAGGAGCCACAAGTGTGTTTGTGGGCAAGAAGTAAGGTAAGTGGGCTCGAAGTAAGGTGAAGAAAGACTAGGGATGATGGGGGAGAGGGGTAATCTCTTACCTTTAGTTGGAAAATGTCCTCATTTTCCTTACAGCTGTGGTAAGTGGGAAGAGGAGGGAATGGGATCATGGCAGGGAGAAGGGCTACCTCTTTATCCAAGATTGAAGTGGAGAAGAATGGTAGGGGATGATACCCAAGTGATGTGGGATGAGGAGGAGAAGGAAGAGAGAAGTCTCGGTGAACAGACTCAGTTTTTTTTTCAATAAACTATGCAGCAAGTACTTGAGCTAAGAGGTGGTAGGACGGGGTGCTGTGGGAGCCTTGAGCTAGGTTTGTAACAGCAGCTAGGAAGAGAGGGACAGGCAGGGGTTAGGCAATTTGGTGAAGACCCAGTTGAGATAAAAGACATTAATCTGTAGTGGATTCACTCAGCATAGTGTCACAGTTTCCTTCAGCTCTGTTAAGCAGCATGTGAATGTAAGTGAAAGCCATATGGTGGGAATAATTCATACTGGGGGATTGGCAAGGCATGACTGGTAACAGGACAAGGAGGGCAAGGGATTCAAGAGAAAAGGATAAGGTGAAATCATTGATTCACCAAGTAAGTAAGGGAAGAAGAGAGTCTAGCCAGTGCAGTGGGGTGGCCTGGGAACAGGGTCAGGAGTCATAAAGCATAAAGAAAGGTGGAATAATAGAAGATTCTGACCAGATAAAGCAACTTCAGTATTTGCGAACACAGAAGTGGAACCTCTGGACAGTTTCCTCCTCTTAGGAGCAGTTGATGATGACTAGAAACAAGTACCTAGCAGAGGTAGACATGTGCTTGCCCTTGACCTGAAGAGTGTACGTGGATGATTGTGGGGGGAACCTAGCTCTTGTGTGAAGGAAGAGAAATTCTCTGAATTCTCTAGAGAGTGTAATAAAAATATCTAGTCTTCTAGTCTGAGAAGGGAAATTTCCTGAGTAGTGACAGCCTTTGGAGATGCTTTGTGGATAATCCCAAATTCAGAATTCTGCGATCTGACCATCTAGTGGGAGGAAGGCATTCTCCTGATGCAGCATACCCAAAGGAGTCAGGAAACCTTTGTTCAAATCCTGCCTCTACCACTGGTTAGTGTAAATCACTCTCTCTGTGCCTCTATTTCTTCGTATGTAAAAGGATGATAATATTTGTAGTCTCTACTTCATACAGTGTTGTGAGGGTAGAATAAGATAATGTGTATGTTTATAAAGTATTTTCAGACTTTAAAATGATATACAAATGTCCCTTATGGAGGTTTAAACCTATGTCTAGTCTGACCTCCGAATCTCTTAATTAGTAAATAGCTTCCTGCGCTTCTGGTTGAGAGTCTCTTAAACTTCTATCTCTTAATATGTAAAACCATAGAGTACTTTCTTCCAAAAGAGTCAGGCTCCCTGCTTCAGAAATTCAATAAGTAATCATTTAAAAAAGGGAAACTACTAGTTTCCTGTATGAAATTAATTTATTCAATTAGATGTGATTGTCAATTTTGTTTTAGGCAATAGGCTTTGGTCCCTAGAAGAATGCTTTTTAATGGAATTATTAACATCTGGGATTAGTTTCTTTTGAGTTTTAAAATAAAAACTGACACTAAAGAAGACATTTACATTATTTATGCCATTTACATCATCATTGAGTAGCAGAATTGGGCTATAGAAAAGGCTTGTAATTTGTCTTTTCCAGACGTTTATTTCATGCTCATAATTTGTCTTTGCAAAATGTATTTAACTGAACACTCAAATTTAATACGGAATGTGGAAAACACAATTTCCCTTGATAAAATATTAAGAATAATAATTCAAATTTATTTAATCACCAGAAATTATTACCACTGATGTTTATCTCATAATTTTTATTCTCTGCAGGAAGTGCCATTTGGCCATGTTCAGGATGGGAGGGCAAGCACCCCCTTCTACTGCAGATATATAAGCAAGATGATTGCCTTCACTACTTAGATCCTTGTTTCTTAAAGCCCGTACTAAATTGTGCAAACTGAAAAAGAACTAAACAGTGTTGAGAATGATGGGAACAAGTTTACTAAGAAGTTCTTTCTGTTTATGTTGTAATCATTGTGTATGTTGTTTTCTTGTCTCAGCTTACTTCGCTCTATATCAGTTCATACACATCTTTTCACACTTTCTTTCGTCATTTACCCCTGTCCTGGCTACAATTTCTTCCCTTCCCCTTCTTGACCCTTTGGTAAGCTAGTTCAGTTCCACACTGTTCTCTTCTCTCAAGTTCCCTGCCCCTTTATCCTACTGGAAATCCTGCCCTTCTAAACCCCAGCTAAGCTTAGACTACTCTTATCACCCTCTGCCTTCACTCCTATTCTTGTGGTACTGAAAGAAACTGGAGAAAACCACAAAACTGTGCTGCCTGGGGCCACTACAAGTTATTATTACATAATGATGAGATTATTACATAATATCATCTGGGCCCTCTCAATGGCAAGGCAATAACACCTCCATAATTGATTCACTGAACCACTCACCTGCACTGACTTTCCAAACCTCTTTTCACCTCTCCTCAAACCTCCCAAGGCTCCCTCTTTCCCCACCCTCTCAGCTGAGAACCTTACCTCCTATTCACTGAAAAAATTGAGGCCACTCACCAAGAGCTCTCTCTTTTCTTCTCCTCCTCCTCATCCATATAACTGATGATTAAGCTTACTTTTGGTGATTAGGGCTGTGTAAGGAGCCAGTTGTGCCAGGAGCAAGTACCCCAGCATGTTTACCTTGGCTTTAAAGAAAACGGAGCGACCCCACTAAAAACAAGTTTCTAATATGTAGAATCTTCACCAGTCATTATGAAATTCGCCTCTCCAAAAAATATACTAAATAGTTTCACTCACCTCTACACCTAGTCTTGATTCTACAGTGAGTTGCTTCAGTGATTAATGAGCTACCACCCTAGAATCCCTTATTCTTTCCATCCCAGTCTCAACCACTGCACTTTATTCATTCCTGTATGTTAATCATAAACCTGCTAAACCTCCACCAATCAATTTCTCTGCTCCTTTTCCCAATTCTCTTTCTTTTGTCCCCTCCCCCAAGCCCCTACCCGCCCCATGCAAAGAAGATTTCCTAGTTTATTTTTTTTTTGAGCATGAGGTCATTTCAAGGTCCTTCCACTCCTTCCAGTAGCTCAAAACTTATATAATATCATTTCATTCTCTCCTTTCTCTCCTGTTTTAGAGTAGGTTTGCCTTCTCCTTAACAAGACTAATTCTTACCAGAATGAAAATTAGGATCTCATCAATTTCACATGATAACATTTCATAATTTTATATCTTTGAACTAGTTATAATTGATTATTGAAAGAGATTCTTCTGGATACAGGTGAAAAATAATTTTAATTTTTTTATCACTTTAGCTCACTCATACTTATGTGTTTGTCACCTAACAGACCTAGAAAATCCATTTTAGATGTCTATATTGCCATAAATTATTGAGGATATGGTTAAAATCAATTAGATAAATGCCTCTACATTTTATATTTCCAAAAGTCATCATATTTTTCTACTAATTTGGAATCCATAGCTAAATAAGTGTAATGTTCTTATGTTAGCATTTTGTTGAATTCATTACATTTTATAGTTATTAGACTATAAAGCTAATCACTGGTAATTTTTTGTGATCTCACCTCCAATATAGGTTTATAATTGGAGAGCTATCTGATTCAGAAAGTGATATTTTTGAGCAGGCAAAAGAATGGGATTTCCACGGAACAGAAGAAGAGCAGAAAGCATTCAACCATGGAACAGAACTCATTCCTTGGTATGTGTTGTCCATTAGAGCTGATGTCCATCAGTTCATACTCCAGGGAGCCACCGTCATTCACTATGACCAGGATACGCATCTATCAGCACGCTGTTTTCTTCGGCTTCAGCCTGATAATAGTACTTTGACCTGGATAAAACCTACAACTGCCTCGCTAGCCAATACTAAAGCCAAGTTAGGCATCACAGGAAACCTAGCTGAACCTGGCAAACTTCAGTCACTTGGCAATACTGGATTAAATGGTTTGGTGGAAGGTTTCTTGGATTTGTTTTCAGCCAAGGCTGTGTACATGGGACATCCTGGCATCGATATGCACACTGTGTGTGTTCAGAACAAACTCAGTAACATGTCCCTCTTAGAGAATAGTGTGACACTGCTTTATGGGCTTCAGACTACTGATAATAGATTATTACACTTTGTGGCACCAAAGCACACTGCTAAAATGGTATATGATGGATTATTAGAATTAACCAAAGCTGTAAGAAAAATGAGGAAATTTCCCGACCAGCGACAACAGTGGCTAAGGAAGCAATATGTCAGTCTCTATCAGGTAAGGAATTTAGTATTTACCTTACATTAATGATACAAGATATTAATGGTCTCCCACTACATTATTGATACTTGGGCAAAGAAAGATAAACAATGAAAATTTCATTTGATTGCCTTTTTAACTTCAAGACTTTGTGATTAGTGAACTGCCAGTGTATGTTAGTGACTAAACACTCATTACAGCTGAAACATCAAATGCTATTACAATCCCCTAATAGCCTGTGTAACTTTAGAGAAATCACTTCATGTTGTGTAGATATTGAATTATGTATCTCACATCGGAGACTGCATTATACATACACATATACACGCGTACATATGGATACATGTGTGTATCCATATGTATATAGGGGCATTGCTTGTTTTATTATGCTTCACTTTATTGCACTTCCCACATATTACATTTTTTACAAACTGAAGGTTTGTGGCAACCTTGCATTGAGCAAGTCTGTCGGCACCATTTTTCCAACAGCATGTGCTCATTTTGTGTCTTTGTGTAACATTTTGGTAATTCTCACAATAGTTCAAACTTTTTCATTATTATTATATTTATTATGGTGATCTGTGATCGGTGATCTTTGATGTTACTATTATAATTGTTTGGGGTGCCATGAACTGTACCCATATGAGACGGCAAACTTAATTGATAAATGTTGTGTTTGTTCTGAGTGTTCCACCAACTGGCCATTCCCCAGTCTCTCTCCCTCTCCTCTGGCCTTCCTATTTTCTGAGGCACAGCAATCTTGAAATTAGGCCAGTTGATAACCTTACATTGGACTTTTAAGTATTCAAGTGACACAAAGAGTTGATTATGTGGCAAATCTCATTGTTTTCTTATCTTAAGAAGTTGCCACAGCCACCCCACCCTTCAGCAACCACCACCCTGATCAGTCAGCAGCCATCAGCATCAAGGCAAGACCCTCCACCAGCAAAAAGATTCTGACTCTCTGAAGGCTCAGATGATGGTTAGCATTTTTTAGCAATAACTTTTTTAAATTAAAATATGTACTTTTTTTTAGATATAATGCTGTTGCACACTTAACAAACTACAGTGTACTGTAAATATAACTTTTATTTGCATTGAGAAACCAAAAAAAAAATCATGTGACTAACTTTATTGCGATATTTACTTTATTGTGGTGGTCTAGAATGGAACCCTCTATGTCTCTGAGGAATGCCTGAATTTATGTATATCCTCCAAAAAAATTCTTCCTAGAATCATAAATCTTGAACTGGAAGGGTCCTCAGAAGTCTCTTGACTAACTTCCTTATTTTTAGAAGAAACTCAGAGGTAAGATTTGAACCCAGGATTCTCAGTACTTATAGCCATCAGTTTGTCCTACTACTTTGTAGACAACTAATTAATCCTAATTAATAGCTAAGGTAGCTTATTAGCTAAGAGTAATAACAGGGTAGGATTGAAGAATGAATAGAAGTTAAATCCTAAATTTTGAAAAAAATTAGGTTATATTCAAGGTCAATCTATATGCTTCATTGTATAATGCCTATCTTAGTTTTATCATCTATAAAATGGGGTAATTATATATACTTTCTACTAGCTCCATGAGAACAATTCAGGTCATATTTATGAAAGTCATATGAGATCTTGTGGAGGAAAATGGCCCTAACTATAAGTATTATTACTGTATTATAGTACTATATGTAGGTTTTACTATATGCATATCTATGTGTGTATATTTTTATGTATGTTTTATATATATACATATATGTGTATATATATATAATTTGTACTTTATTATGCTTTGCTTATCAACTGGTTAAACTTGTATTATCTTTAACCTTCCAGAGTATCCATAAGCCCAGAAGTAAGCCAAAAGACCTCTCAGTCCAACAAGAATTGCTCTTATAAAAAAAAAAAGAATTGCTCTTAAAATATTCAGCCATTTAAGCATTTGTTAAGTGCCTAAAATGTGCTGGGTCTTTTTCTAGGTGTTGGAGAAAGAAAAACAGGACAGTCTTTCCTCTCAAGAAGCTTATGTTCTCCTCGGGGTAGGGTTTGTTGGGAGAGCCCATATGCTTCTGCAGTTCTTCATCTTGTGGTTTTCCCTGGAAGTCATCAGTTCTGTCCTCCTGTTATATTCAGAGAGTAGGGGAATGAGTAGTAAAAACAGGACAGTGGGATAAAGAGGAATGTGAAACAGGAGGAAACTGACAGCAGGAAACAACAGCGGAGAAGTACAGTCATTTTGTACCTGGGAGCAGACACATTTCTCCACTCTGAAGAGAAACACATTTTGTGTGTTAAAAAAAGATTGGGACAGGATACCAAAGACCACTCAATAAATATAGAGGAAAACAGTTCTGTAAGTCACTGAGGCAACTACGAAAGGAGAAAATAGAACTCCTGACTAGCAGAGAAATCTCAATAAATTCAGTGAAAGGGCAAGCTTAATCCTGCATATCTGATCAGCTTCCAGAGTCATTACTGTATCAGAGCATGGTACAAAAACTGATGTTTATCCAGAAAAAGTTAGACAATCTCTCATGAACTCTGTTGAGTAAGGCAAAAAAAAATTCACAGTAATTTTTAAAAATTTTCCATCAAATACAGTTAAACAAGATTTCGGCATTTGAAGCATTCGTCTTAAATTAGCGGGAAAATTTCTTCATCCAAAGCACCACATTCTTCAGTGATATCAAGTCAATCACTCCTCACTGTCCTTGGATTTTGTGTAACCCTGGAAACAACTGTTGTGTGGGGTGAATGAGAATGTGGAGCTGAGGATGGCGTCAAGGTTTCAAACTTAAAAATGACTAGAACAGTAGTGTTGCCCTCAACAGAATGGGGAAATTCCGAAAAGCAGTGGGTCTGAAGGGAAAGGTAAATTATGTTTTGGATTTCTTGAGTTTAAGATGTCTATGGGACATCCACTGTAAAAGGTCCAGCAGGCAGTTGGTAATGCCAGACCAGAGCTGAGAAGAGAAATCAGGGCAAGATACATAGCTGAGTGAAGACGATAATTAAATCCATGGGAAATAATGTTGACAATAGGGCGAAAAGGGAAGAGGCCCAGGGAACTCAATAGCAGAAGATGGCATAGATTTAATGTTCCTTTTTCTAAGGAGCTTCTCAGCTGTGTTACCTTCAGTCCTCTATTTGTAATCATGTCATTCTTTATAGGAGGATGGAAGGTTTGAAGGTCCAACTTTGGCTCATGCTGTTGAACTGTTTGGTGGCAGACGTTGGACTACACGAAATACAAGCCCAGTAACACTGTCTAAAAGTGTGGAGAAACCTATTGTCCAGAGGAACAACACCCTTGGGATAAGTGCAAATAAGAAAAAGAAAAAAATCCTTATGAGGGTAAGAGTTTCACACTTCACCATATTTCACATCAAATCAACACATGCATAATAAACAACATGTAATGTGCACCAAGGCAGGTGCCACGGGAGGTATGAAAGGAGCATAGAACGTGGTCTCTGCCTTCTCGTAAATTATAATTTAATTGAAGAGAAAAAAATTTAATACAATTTTTTTAAAACTGCTAAATTGTATGGTAGAGACTGCAAGGTACAAGGAGTATTAGAATTATTTCCTGTACGAGGTGGCATTTGAGCAGAGGGATTCTATGCGATAAGATGAGGAAGGAGTGAATTTAACTGTGGGGGTCAGCCTTGTCAGATAGGGATCAGCAAGCATACTAGTTTGGCTGGAGTACACAGAATAATGTGTGTTAAGCCCATAAAAACAAATGGGAGGCAGATTGTAAATAGTTTTAAAAGGCAAACAGAGGGATTTGTAAATCTTCTTAAGCAGGAGAGTAACATAATCTAATCTGTAACATAAGTATCAATTTGGTAGCTGGGTGAAGATGAACAAGAGAGAAGGAAAGGCAGGAAGACAAATAATGAGGCTTTTGCAGTAATCCTAGTCAGAGTGATCTTCCTAAGGCATGGATCTGACCATGTTACTCTCCTACTCAGTCATTTCAGTAGGTCCCTATTACCTCGCAGGGTCAAATACAAATATAAAATCTTTTGGCTTTCAAAGCCCTTCCTGACTTGGCCCCTCACACAGTTTCATTGGCTGTCTCCCATGCCTGGAATTCTCTCCTTCATTGCCTGTCTCAGTTTTCCTTTGGACTCGAATACTTACTTTTTGAAGCTTTGGAATTTCAATACTTAGCTTTCCTTTAGTACTTAGTTCAATTCCTACTTTCTCCAAGAGACTGTCTCTGCATTTCCCTCTAAGTTACCTCCTTCTAGACAGACAGACAGACAGACAGATAGATAGACAGACAGACAGGTAGATAAAGATATATACGTACACACGTATGTACATACATACATACATATACATAGTTATTTGCATGTTCTATCTCTCATTAGCATGTGAACTTCTTGAAAGCAGGGGCTATTTTTGCCTTTCTTTGTATCACCAGCACTTAGCACAGTGCCTGGCCATTTAGTAGATGCTTGTTCTTGATTGAGGTTGATGAAGGTTTGGATAGGGTAGTAACCATTTGAGTGGAGAGAAAGGGACGGATATAAAATATTTTAGAGATAGAATCGGCATGATTTGGCAACTGATCAGTAAATTAAATGAGAATCGAGTTAAATAATATATGTAAAGTTCTTTGCAAATTTATAACTCTTATTAGCTATGATATTAGCTTTTGTTATTAGCATTTATCAGTCAACACTCATATTAAGCATCTACTGAGTAGCAGTATTTACAAAACATTAAAAAGTTAAAACATTGTAGTTTGGCAGGAAGGACAGTATCGACTGGGGAGGGTGGTCAAGTATTAAAATAACTTCCTGTGGGAAGTCCCACCTGAGCTGTGCCTTGAAGGAAAGTAGGGGTTTTGAGAGTTATGGCCAAAGGAGTGCTTTCTAGAGATGGGGGCTGGCCAGTGTAAAGCCATCAAAACTGGAGATGGAGTCTCTGGTACAAGGAACAGTAAGAAGGCCAATATGCCTAGAAGAAATGTATAATAAAACTGAAAAGGTAATTGGGGGCCAGTTGTGAAGGCGTTCAGCATCAAACTGAGGAATTTATATTTTATCCTAGAAATAACATGGAACCTTTGAAATTTGAGTGGGGGGAGGGGTGTCATAGTTAAACCCATGCTTTAGGAAAATCATTCTGGCCAACATATAGAAAATAGGTTAGCATGTGGAAAAATTAAAGGCAAGGAGACCAATTAGGAGGTCATTTCAATTAGCATAGGTGAGGAGTGATGAGGGCCCAAGCTATGGTCGTCCTTGAGTAGGTAGAGAGCCTTGGACAGGTGCAAGAGATGCTGTGGAGGTAAAAACCAACAAAATCTGACAACTCATTGGATATCCATGTGTCCAGTGAGAGTGGGTGAGAGTAAGGAATTGAGGATCATGCTGAGGTTGGGAATGCTAAGGCCTGGAAGAATTAAAGTGCCCCACTTAGAAGATAGGTGTGTTTAAGGGGAAGGTAGCAAGTTCTGTTTTGGACATGATGAGTTTGAGATGTCGTTGGGCCATCCTATTTGAAATGTCCAGGAAGGAGTTAGTTACTCAGGACTGGAGCTCAGGAGAGAGACTAGAGTTGGTTATGCAGATCTGAGAGTCATCTGCAGAGAGATGATGATTCAACCTATATGAGGTGATGAAAAGCCACCAAAAGTGTAGCAAGAGAAGAGAAGGTCCATGCCAGAACCTTGGGGTATACCCACAGTTAGTGGGCATGATAAGAATGACGTTCCAGAAAAGGAAGGAATCATCAAACGAGTAGGAATACAACCAAAAGAGAACAGTATCCTGAAAAAGACCCATGGGAAAAAAGAATAGCCAGGAGGCAAGGGCTGTCAACCACATCAAATGCTATAGAGTTGTCAAGCATGAGGACCAAGAAAAGGCCATCAGGGTAGTCAGATAAAGAGGCCAGAAGCCATACTGTCAAGGGTTAGAAGAGAGTAAGAGGATTGAAAGGGAGGCATCAAGTCTAGACAATTTTTCTAGGAATTTGACTGAGAAATGGAGGTGAGATAGACAATAGATTGTAGGGAAGGTATAGTATACTTTGGGTATTTTAAAGATGGGGAAGATTGTATATTTCATTATATGGCAAACAAGTAACCAGAAAATAGGGAGAGATAATATTTAGAGATAGAAAAAGAATAACTGTGGAGGTATTTTGCTGGAGGTAGATGGGAAAAGATTTGCAAAAATGCACCCCTTTGCAGATGTGGGGGAATGTAGATATTGAACTCCTCAAGAAATGAGGAAGAATGCTGGGAGCTCACAGAATAGCCAGCAGGATTTTGAAAGAATTTTCTGTCTGGATTGAGTGAACCTTAGAGGAGGAAAAGTTGTTGAGATGATGAGAAGAGACAGTCTGAAAGTGGCAGTGTGGATCAAGCAGCATACTTATTTTTCCTCTAGGCACACCATGTTTTTCAGATTCCCTTTAACCCCAGTGTACATTTGGGGATCAAAAAAAAAGATAGATTTGTAGAATCCTAACATCTGACTCAATGCAGTTTCCCTTAGAAACAGTCTCATAAATTATAGTTAGATTCTCATGGAGATAACAAAAGTCTATCTAATAATATAACCAATTTAGTATTTTGTAAGATGTCATGGTCTAACCCAAGAAATTTACCTCCATATATAACATATCCCCTTTTGGAAATTCAATTCAATTTATTAAACATTTATTAAGCACATACCATGTGCAGTTAGGCACTGGTGATAAAAACTCTCTTGAGAACACAAACATTACTCTCATTAAATGAACATTAAACAAACATTAAATTCCAGAAGTTTACAAATGAATGGATAGAAGGAGAAAAATGTATACAAATAACTGTAATACAAGGGATCACAGGGTCATAGTTTTAGAACTCGAAGAGATCACAAAGATCATCTAGTCCAGTCCTCATTTCAGATGGGAAAACTGAGACCAGGTAGGTTAAGGGACTTGCCCAAGGTCAAACAAGTAGTAAGACCACCCCAAGAATTAAACCTGAGTTTTCTGACTCCATATTCAGCCCCCATTCATGAGGAGATAGAATAATCCAGAATATCTCAAGGAAAGATTTTGAAACACAAGTTAAGGATTTTTAACCTCTTCATGAGCAATGGAAATCCACTTTTAAAGCAGAGACTGCGGAAGGCCATGATGAAGATGTTGGTGATGGCCTGAGCTGTAGGTGTTACTAAAGCTGGGGAGTCCAGCAAGGAAGAGGTTGCAATAGTTAAGGAAGGAGATAAGTATCTGGGGTAGATTAGACATGGTTCCAAGAAAAAAGAACAGAAATGTTCTGTATTCTCTGTTTCCAGGGTGAAAGTGGAGAGGCTACTGATGATGAGATGGCCACACGAAAGGCAAAAATGTATAAGGAGTGCCGTGGCCGCAGTGGCTCAGATCCTCAAGACCTTAATGAGCAAAAAGAATCAGGTAGAGCTGTGTTTTCATACTCTAAATCTAGGTCATAGCTGGTTTTTAAGTTTTATAATAATTAGAAATTTTGTTTTATGTTATGATCATGTTGTATTATGATTACAACACCTTAAGGGATAGCTGCTAAAGTACTTTGTCTTACTAAAACAGCCAAGTTTTCTTATCTACATGATGTATTTTTTAAAAAATAAAAACAAAAAAATCAGGAATAGCAGCCTTAGAACTATGTTAACTTACGTTATCTTCCCTTTATTGAACATTGATGTTCTTTTGATGATACAGGACACTTGTCAAAAATCTTGGTTTAGTTTTTAAAGCATATTTAAGTTTAAAGATAGCCTTTAAGAGAGATTCAAGTTTTATATTTGTTATTATGGGGTTACTGAGAGACAAATTATAATGAAATGTATAACCTGTGACAATGTTTATTTTCCCTCTTATACTTTTATAGATCAGAATGTTATCATTAGTCCTTCTAATAATCTGCCCTCCAGAAGAGCCCACTCTTTGACTACAGCTGGATCTCCTAACTTAGCTGCTGGAGCACCTTCACCAGTCAGACCACTCTCCTCACCTGTATTGTCACCTTCAAGCAAGAGTCAGCCTAAGTAGGGACAAATTCCGTTGTAAAATAGAATCATTAATCTCATTTAATTGCATTTTTTTTATTCTTTAGTTTGCTCTTTTCGAGATGACCCTATAGAAATTCGACTCATTAATTTAAAAACTGATTACCCTTGTGCCATTAATTTATTTCATTGAGAAAAACTTCTTGGTTTTCCTGAGTGTATCTTCTTCTGTATTCCCATGGTATCACATTTTAGTGCTAATTTTATAGTAGAGAGAGACTAAAGTACAAGGATCTGATAACAAAGATAAACTAGGTCTCTGATTTCATAATGCCAGATAAGCCACATGAATTCTGTCAGTCATTTAATACATTATTACAGGTATAGTGTATGTAATGCTTGGCTTATACTTGGGGGTGTAATGTGCATGACTAGGAGATTGAGTGATGAAATGGAAAGAGCATATCGTATTTGGAGTTGGAGGACCTTCCCCTTCTTGCCCAGAATCTCCCAAAACTAAAAAGAGGGAGCAAGGCAACTGTAAACAGCTTGGAGATTTACCAGCTAACGCTTTGAAATCTGCTGGTTGGAGAATCCTGGGGCCAGAGTTCTAGTGCTTCCTATAAGGTAATCAGTATTGAGAAAGGGATTCTGGCAGGTGACAGCAAAAATCACGTCATCTGATTTTACTTTAAACCTGTGATTCAAACTCTTAAACTCTTGATTCAGTGCCATTTCATTTGATTTCACATATGTATGCACATATATATCCATGTGTACATCATGACTTTTTAAATTAATCTAACACTAATTTTTAAATTTTTTTAGTAATCAAATGAGTTTATATATATAAAGGCCACATTGGCAATGCCTACTTTTAAGACAAAATGTTCCTGACAGCACTATAACAGGCGGTGTGGTATAAAGACTTGTTTGGGTAGCTCACTTTCTCTGGGCCTTAGTCCTTTGTCTTTAAAATGGGGATAACAGTGGCATCACAGGCTCCTTTAAAGGGTAAAATGAAGTAATTTATCATGAAGCATTTGGCAGACCTTCGAGCATTACATAAACATAAGCTATTATTCATTGTATAACCTTGGGCAAGCTACTTCATAGCGTTAGGCCTGTGTTTCCTCAGTTATAAGATGAGGTAACTGCACTGAATGATTTCCAAATTCCCAACTCTAAATCCTAAGAAGGTAGATTGTGATAAAACTGACTGAGCATGTTCTGTGCATTCATCTGTTTTCACCTTTGCCATTTATTCATGAAATTACTTTTTTTTTGCCACTAGGAGACATTAGTGTGTCAGCTGGGTGACTAGGAGACCCACATATATCTGGAATACTCAGTTCAGTTTTGAGTAATACATTTTGGGAATGGCATTAATGGGCTAGAGAGCATTCAAAGGAGGGCAGCCAGGATGGGGAGGGGCCCTGAGTTCATGCCATGTGAGGACGGGTTGAAGGAACTAGAAACACTTAGCTTAGTGTGAAAAAAAGAAAACACCTGGGGAGCGGGAGATGTGCCAGCTATCTTGAAGTATTTAAAAGGTAAATATGTGGAAAAGAGAGTGCTCTTCTTTTTTAGGGCCCCCAAGAACACAACCAGAAGCAATAAGTAGAAGTTGTAAGAAGGCAGATATGATATATAAACCAGGATATCTGAGCAGTTTTTTGTTTGTTTGTTTTTAAGTTTCAGCTAATTCAGACAACCTATGTGTTCTGTAGCAGCATGGATTTTAGAGCTAACATAAAGAAAGATCATGTTAATTAATGTTATCAGAAACAATAGTAAGAATGTTTAATTCGATTCCATAAATGTATTAAGTTCCACTCTGTGGAGACTGAGGGAGATAGTAAATTGAGAGGTCCATTCATGAAATGGACATCTGGTAGGAAGATAAGACTCCTATCCTGTCATTGAACAAGTGTAGTCTTTGTCAAAGCAGTTGTTTGACCTCATATTGACCAAAGATCCCAAATTTTACTAGTTTTTAAAAACTAAATTGGCTGAGGTAATCGACAATTTTGACATTGTAGAGATATAGCCATGGGATGATGCAAGGCATGTGTGTGTGTGTGTGTGTGTGTGTGTGTGTGTATTTGTGTATGTCTCTTATTTTAATGTCTTTCTGAGCAGCAAGAAGCACTCTCTTACTTACATCACTTAAAATCTTGCTTACTCATCTGGTCCTAAATCTTTGACAGTCTTGATTATCTGGGGTACATGTAGCAGAGGTTATAGAGAGTCTTATCTGAACTCATGATTGATCTTCTAGACAATTTGTCCTTGACACATATATCTATCTATCTATCTATCTATCTATATATAGATAGATAGATAGATAGATAGATAGATAGATAGATAGATATATAGATAGATAGATATATGTATATTCAACCCTTCTGTGGCCTAAGATGCAGGTAGTTATTATCTGGAGGCAGGTTGTATAATAAGCAGTTCATCATAATTAGCCTAAGAATGATGATACATGTTTATCAATCTTATTATTTCAGGATTTGTCAACATTTTTAGTGCAGATACTAATAATTATGTTGAGAATGACCTTGAAAGAATGTATTATTACCTGAAAGTGGGTCCAAGCCAAATTTCTTATGAAAGTTACAAAAGAGAAGAAAATATTCTTGAATTTTTAGCATGTAAATCATGAAGTTACATGAAATTCCACTTTAATAGAATTGTTCCTTTTGTGTCTTAAATTTTTTAGTATTGAGAGCTTTCCTTCCCTCCTGGGCTGACTTCCTATATCTGAAAGACTGCTGTAAATTACTACTAATAAGAAAAATGATAAGAGAAATGCAAATCAAAACAACTATAAGTTTTGATCTCATAAGGAACAAATTAGCAAAGATCATAAAATCTGAAAGTAGTGTTGGAGAGGCTACCAAAAGACTGGCAGCCTACTCTACTAATGATTGAGTTGTGAATTTGGTCCAATCATTCTGAAAAAAAAATTGGAATTATCCTATAAAGGTGATTAAACTGTCCATACCTTTCCCCCCTACTAGACACATACTAGTTCAAAGATGGTAAGAAAAGTCCCACAAACACCAAAATATTTGTAACAGAATTTTTTGTGGTAGAAAAGAACTGGAAACAACATAGGGACCCATCACTTGCAGAATGATTAAATTGTGTTCCATGGTGGTAATACACTATTACTGAGCCATTAAAAAAAATTATTGAAGTGGTGTGGATTGAAATGAGCAGAAACAAGAAATAAGACACAGGATGACTATAAAACAGAAAGATTCCCCCCAAAATTTGAATGCTTTGTAAATTATAATGACCAAGTTTGGCCCAGAAGAAGAGTTGAAAAGTATATCTCACTCCCTTCATTGTAGAGGGAAGGGACTATGGGTATAAATTATTACATTTTAAACACAATGTTAGCTAGTTTTGCCAGATTGTTTTTTTTTCATTCTGTTTTGGTTTTGGGTTTTTTTTTTAATCTTTGTTACAAGGTCTATCTCACTGGGTCAGGACGGAGGAGGAATATATTTGGAAATTAGTGTGATGTAAAATCAAGAGGCATCAAAAAAACCAAGACTTTTTAAAAGATGGTCTATGCTAAAAATGACAACATCCATGTTTTACATAATCAGAGTGATTTCTTTATTCTAGTACGTGGAGCAGCAGTAGTTGGCATGGCCAAGTCAAAGGTGGACTGAAGGGATTTCAGAATTTCATGGTTTCGGATAGTAACATGAGTTTTGTTGAATTTGTAGAGCTGTTCAAGTCATTCAGGTAGGACATAATTTGTTTTTCTCTCTTTCCACCTCAAAGCTCTTAAGTAACACTAATTATAAAGCATTTATTATTCTTATTCTCAGTGTCCGAAGTCGAAAGGACCTCAAGGATCTGTTTGACGTCTACGCTGTGCCCTGCAGTCGATTGGGCTCTGAGTCTGTCCCACTCTATACGAACCTGAGAATTGATGAAAATACCAGTGGCCTTCAGCCTGATTTAGGTTAGTTCTGTTATTTTTAAATACCCTCAAGATAACAGCACTTGTCCTTACCTGAAAATATTTTAAAATTTAGTAATTAATTCATAGAAAAAGCCAGAAGTTCTATCTCAGGATATCGTTGACATATATGAATTAAAATACTTAAAGAGACAGTGTGATATAGAGGCTGTGTTGGAAGTTAAGAACACCTGTATTCAAATCCCATTTCTAATACTTACAGGCTACGTGACCATGTCACTTATTGTTTCTGAGCTTAAATTTCTTCATCTGTAAAATGAGAATCATGGTAATAATACTACCTCAGCAGGTTGTTGTAAGGTTCAAATATGATCATGTAAATCAAGCACTTTACAAGTTCTAAAGTGCCATGTAAATGTCACTATTATTTGAAGAGTAATACAGTCAACAGCAAAGATCTTTAATGTCATTTAGGCTGCCCCTTGCTATCAATTAGCCAATCATTCAATGAGCATTTATTAAATACCTACAAGGCTCTTGGGATACAGATCCAGAGAATGAAACAATCCTTAACTGTCGGTCTGTAAACCCAGGAAGATCTTACTATCTAATCTCAATCCTGCCCGTAATGATAGTAGTAGTAGTAGTAGTAGTAGTAGTAGTAGTAGTAGTAGTAGTAGTAGTAGTAGTAGTAGTAGTAGTAGTAGTAGTAATAGCCAGCATTTATATGGTGCTTTAAGATTTGCAGAATACTTTACCTATATTATGTCATGACACCCTCACAACAGCCCTGTGAGGCAGCTGCAATTATTTTCCCTATTTTACAGATGAGAGGACTCTGAAAGCACTCAGGTGACTTGTTCAAGGCCATATAGCTGGTGAGTGTCCAAGGAGAGATTCGAACGCAGGTCCCTTCTGACTCCACAGATTCTAGGTCTCTATCTACTGGGGTACCTTGTTGTGATCTCAGTGAAAATAGTGAGAAATTCTTTCCCCTCCATCCTACTTCATAATATATACCTCTCATGTAACAAAGCACTGCACATACAGTATTATCTCTTAATAGCTAAGTCTTTTTTAACCTATTTTAAGCAGGTCCTCTGAGGGACCATTTTGTAAGCTCTTCATCATAGGACACTGGACTTGGAGTCAGGAAGACTTGGGTTCAGATCCCACCTCAGACACTTACTAGCTGTGTAACGTGTAGTAAGTCAGTTATGTAATCTTTCTGTGCCTCAGTTTCCTCATTTGTAAAAGTAAGGGTTTGTCATTGATGGCAGGCAGCAAGCATTCATTAAACACTTACTATATGCCAAGTACTGTGCTCATCAAGCAGAGGAAAGAAATATGAGCAAAAGAAAAGACAGTCTCTGTCCTTGACGAAGTTACATTTTAGTAAGAGAAGATAACACAGAAAAGGCAACTGCAAAGTAGGTGGGAGAGGGTGCAGTACCCATGTGGGGCATGTTGTGAAAGTTCAAAGAGCCAGAAGCTGAGCCAGGAGGGGAACAAAGCATGGCCAGCCTGGGCCCCTTCCCAAAATGGAGGTCCCAATGGGAGAAGGTAGACTGTAGGAGTGAAATAATGTTCCATGGTGAGAAGGCAATGGAAACATGGACACAAAGTTCAGATTGCCTTTTAAGGTCTCTTATAGCTCTAAATCTGTGATCCTGTGATCTTCTTTGGATTGTATTTGAATTCAAGCACAGATACCAAATTGAAAATATTATTTTGCTAAATTAGGGTTGCTTCACAGTTTCTACAAATTATATAGCTATTTATATATCTAGCATTGTGATTTTTTAAATTTGGTCAATGTTCTTACTGACTTATGTAATTTTCAGTCTGCTGTGACTCTTAGATCTTTTTCTCTGAGATCTTCTCATATAATAAGCAGCATGGGAATGTTGTGACTTCTCCCTTGTGCAAAATACTAAGTTGTGTAGAAATTTAACCATGTTCTCATGGACCCAAGGCCATTATGGCCTCACCTCAAACAAAGAATTCACTAATGGTAGGAGTATAAACAGAACCCACACTCATGAATGTGCTCATTCTTTGCTTCTAATAATTTTAGTCATTAATATTTAGTCTTTAAAAAGCATTAAGAAAGCTAGGTTTGTCTGTATTTCCTTCAAGGAGATTCACTTATCTGGATGATGAACATGAGTTTGGGCCAGGTGATTTCTTTGGTCTCTTCAGGCACCATGGAAGGAAGGAAGGGAGCAAACAGTGTTTTACTGAGCATCTGCCATATTCTGTGATTTCATGAAATATGCATAACTGCGTTTTAATGAAGTATATTCATTTTAATAAGGTAGATAAATTAGGAAAGTGAGAGGAACTGATTTTGAGATAGATAGATAGATAGATAGATAGATAGATAGATAGATAGTCTCTACATATGTAAAAATGTACGTGGTTTTCAGTGAATGCCAGAGTCTGTGTTCTGCTAACAGATTCTCACTTTCAGTTCCTAACTCATACTTCTTGCTGTCCAAGTATTTGTAAGATGCTCCCAAAAGAATGTAAGTTCTTCAAGAGCAGGAACTGTTCTGCTTTGTTTATCCTCAATTCCACAGTGCTTGGCATATAGTAAGCATTTAATAAATATTTGTTGAATTAAATTGAAAAATTTGGAGCAGAGGCCCTGTAGTTTTTGTAGAATTTTTCGAGAACTAACATTGCGTTCATTTGGTTAACCAGCTAAAAAGAAACATTCTAGTCTAATGATTCTGTGGATTGAGTCCAAAGCACCCTCTCTCACTTACTACCTTGATGACCTCATATCAGTCACGTACCTTGTCTGGATCTCATTTCCTCACCTTTGCAATGAGAGGGTTAGATGAAATGGTTTCTGAGATCCATTCCAGTTCTCAACCTATGATCTATGAATTCGTCTTCTGAATCAGCTTTGTGAAATTCCTTGGGTATTTCTCTTCAGTTTTAATGTGTTGTTTTTATTCTAGATTTGTTAACCAGGAACGTGTCTGATTTGGGCCTGTTCATTAAGAATAGGCAACAGTTATCAGACAACCAGAGGCAGATATCTGATGCCATTGCTGCTGCTAGTATTGTGACTAATGGTTCTGGAATAGAAAGCACCACACTCGGTGTTTGTGGGGTTGGCATACTGCAGCTCAATGACTTTTTAGTGAATTGCCAAGGAGAACACTACACTTATGATGAGATCCTCAGCATTATTCAGGTATGCGTGTTTGAATCTTTTTTCCCCTGACTCACTAGAGTCTGAGAGGTGTGGGAGGATTTTTTGGGCATTTCTCACCAGTCTTTCTGTTCTTCTCTACAAAGTCCTGCAACTTGAAGGCAAAAATAAAGGACCTCTTAAAGACCAAGCATACATACATGCATACCTTTCATGTATATACCAAGCATACATACCTTTCTTTGTCTCACCTATGCTTAGCGTAATACCTGGCACATAATAGGCACTGAATAAAAGTTTGTTGGCTACCTAACCAGCCTCTAAGCATCTGACTTAATGACTACACGTCCCAGAGAATGTCTTAGTCAATGAGTCTTATAAGTACATGTTAGAAGTGAATTAAAATTCAACCACATTTGGAACTATTTGATTTCATGGTTTGTAAATTAAATTAGCGGGAAAAATCAAAGATTAGCAACCTTACATGCAATAAATTTGGGACTGAGTGTCCACTTCTGTATAATGTGATTGAGTGTGATCAGTCCAGACTCATGGCTGTCTTTGTCACTGATTGACAATCAGCAGTCAGATGCGACAGTGTGATGCAGTAATTGAGATCGATCAGTCAGTTAATAAGTATTTTTAAGGACCTACTACATGCAGTAACTTAAGTGAAATGCAATAAGGGCCTGAACTGTGGTGGTAGCTATATGAATGAAGAGAAGAGATCAAAGTAAGGCTAAAAATTGGGATTACCATGTCTTTCAAAGACTCTGATTTTATTTTTCATTCCTATATACATAATCTCATAATTCTCAGTGTTTTTTAAGTAGAATGTTAATGTAATTAACACATAAAATTTTATTTTCTTTTTTATTAGAATCTTATATTTTACAATACTTACGTTTTAAAATTAATTCAAGTTTTTGGTTCAAAAATTTCACCTTGAATGTAGTGTAGCTTTAAAAATCAGAACATGTGCTATTCATTATACTTATTCTCCTTGTTCCAAATTACATGGTCTTTGTGTCTCCTGCAGAAATTTGAGCCTAGTGTGAGTATGTGTCAGCAGGGTCTAATGTCGTTTGAAGGATTTTCCAGGTAATTGGTTTTTTAATGATTATTTTTTCCTATCTATTAGTTGCATGAAGTTTATTTAACTAAATATTCATGGTAAAATGTAATTGTTTTGACATAGGTTTCTGATGGATAAAGATAATTTTGCTTCACAAAATGATGAATCACTAGAGAATGTTAAAGAATTGCAGTTACCACTCTCCTATTATTACATTGAATCTTCGCACAACACATACCTCACAGGACATCAGCTTAAAGGAGAGTCCTCAGTGGAGCTATATAGCCAGGTACACAGAATTTAACTTAGTTCATGCTTTTCATTAGGAGATTGTTTGTCTAAACCAAAGATCATTTAGCCTGACCTTGGATTCTTTAAACATGTTGCATATTCTAAGCCATTGCATGTCAAGTCTAGGGAAACATGTGTGGGAAAACTGCTTATGTGCACAGTTGTTTCCAGTATTTTTCCTGATCTATACTTAAGCTTTATTCTTTTTTATAAAAGGCATTTATTTTAGATTCATGGCTTTTAAATACTAGTTTGTCTGCCCTACCCTTCTAAAATTAGACTTTCTCATGGGAAAAATATCTAATAGCTTAGCTAAATGTTAAATAAATCATTATATTATAGTGGCAAAATAGAAAAGGGAACTTTAGTAAAATTTGAATCCAAGAATATTGTTTGTTTTGCCTTATAATTTGTTAGACAGTCTATTACTATATTAACTGATTTGGGGGAAAAAAATTGTCTAGAGGAGTCTGCTGCCTCAGTCTTGCTGTGTGATCTTCAGGAACTCTCTTCACCTCAGCTTCTTTATGCTCTCTAGGGTTCCTTCTAGCTTTAAATTATTTGTGATCTAAGGTTTATTCACATAAAGTCATCTAATATATAATTATGTATTCCAAACCTGACTTTCCCATTAACTTTCTTTATAAAATTAAAGGCTGTATTGTGAAAGAGGGAAAAAAATTCCTAACACGCCAAACCAGAGCTGACATGTCCCACCTCTAACCTCTATATTGGGCTGACCCCTAGCCACATGCTGATGTTTGCCCTAGGCATTCAACCCCCCAGTTACCAAAGGAAACCAAACTACCTCCCCACTGTGAATTAATTAATCAAGGCTGGTATTCCTGCCTAGTAGTAGTACAGGTGGCTGTCATCTATAAGATAAAGTGACTATCTCTTGCTGTTTTCCATTTATGCTATTACTTCTTCTTCCTCCTTCTTCTGAATGTACTGAGGGTTCTCTTAAGACTAGCATTACTAAATGAAGCAACTGTGATAGGCCCCTGAAGAAACCCTGCTTCAGTAGTGTTGGTGGTCAGCTTTTACATTCCTGAATTGTGATTCCTATGTGCCCTACTTCTGGGCAGGGCTCAGCTAGCACTGGTTGAAGGGAGACATGCTGGGTCAGCTATGTTCCTGAGGACAGAGTGATTCTTTTACAAGGCAGCGCTGGTTTGCATGTGAAAGGCCAGACCTGGCCTAGTTGAGGCATTTATAAGTCAATGATCTAGAATGCTCTTTCGAGGTTGTCTTTCATTAACCTCCTAACTAAATTATATTTTTTTGATTTCCTACTTACTTGCCCCAGTAAAAGCAAAATAAAAAACGGAAAATACCAGTCACACATGGGTTTGGTGCTTCTTATGTGCTTAATAAAAATCTGTTCAACAAATAGAATGGAAGTGCTATATTCAGCACTCTACCACAGCTTCAGGGTAGAGGGATCCGCATGTTTCAGGCATACCATTTCCAAAAGCTACTTTTAGCCCAAAGTCTAGGGAAAAGAAAGAAGTGACACTCACCCCTGTAGCCTTAGTCAGTTTTTAAGAGCTTAGTTGGGTGAAGTAAATAGAATAGCAAAAAGCAAGATTTATGTGGACATCAAAATTTCATTGCAATATCTCTGAGCAACAACTCTAGCCTTAGGATTAGACTTTTCTTAACATGAGAAGAGATATCATTGACATTGATCAGCTATCTCATTCAATACAAGCTCATTCTCTAATATAAAAATAACATTCCTATGAAAATTGTTGTACCCTCAAAGCCAAAAGCATTCTCAATAAGAGCTGTACTTTGTGAGGAGATCCTTGAAGTGCATATTCTAGATTCTTCTTCAGGATTGACTGGCAAAGAAGGGAACTTTGGGCATTACTATTATTCTCACTCTAAAATCAATGCAGCTACTTAACTAGCTGAAGAGATTAATTCTACATGTTGTACAATTTATTATACTCTTTAAGTGAGCCAGCCAGATCCAATTAAATATAAAGTCCTATACTTTACATTTAATATTGCATTTGAGCTCTGAAGATCATTTGTTATATAAAATGACAATATTAATCAACAGTGTGATAGGGCAGTCAAAAAAAGCTAATAAGGACTTGCACTACTCGGGGAGTCATAGCTTCCCTGGCCTACATAGACCACATCCAAAGTACTGTGTTCAGTTGTGGGCATTGTATGTTGATATGCTGGAGAGTATTCAGAGAGCAGCCGGGATGGCAAGAACCTTGAGTTCATGCCACATGAGGGTCAGCTGAAGGAATTAGAAGTGTTTACTCTGGAAAAGAGACAACTTAGGACTTGACAAGTTAAGACCATCTTCAAGAGGTTGAAGGCTGGAAGGTTTTGAATGGGGTCTGAATGTGGAAGATGGATTAAACTTGTTTCATTTGGCCCCAGAGGGCAGAACCAGAAGCAGTGGGCAGATAGGGGCTTCAAAGAGCTAGATTTAAGCTCGATGTCAGAAAAGCTTTCTAACAGTTAGAGGTATACAAAAGTAGAACGAACTGCCTGGAGAGGCATTCAGTTCCCACTCATTGAAGATCTTCAAGCTGGCAATATGACTGCTTATCAAGGCATGTCGAACTGTCAGGGGGAGTCTTCTTCAGGTATGGATTGGGCTACATGACTGATGAGTTTCCTTCCTGTTCTGAAATTCCCTGATTCTGTGATATGCTGAGTTTGGGTTTTATCTCAACTGAAGTTCTCACATGAACTAGTTTGCTCATCTGTAAAATGAACAGACTGAATTGGGTGATGTTGAAGATACCTTCCAGTGCTAAATCCTGTGGTTTTATAATCTTACAGGTCCTCTTGCAGGGCTGTCGGAGTGTGGAATTAGACTGTTGGGATGGTGATGATGGGATGCCAATTATTTATCACGGACACACACTCACTACCAAGATTCCCTTCAAGGTGAATTCTTTGTCATCATCTTCAAATGAAGTCACAGAAAATTTCATCCATTTACACCGTTTTTAAACATACACTACAAAATACTATCTTTGGTTATTCATTAGATAAAAGCATTGCTGCAATTTTAAAATTATATATAAATAGCAGCCTACATTCTCAAGTATTCGTTTAAGAATCAGGAATCTTGGTTTCTATTGAATTATGGAATTATGGTAAGATGATTTCAATACATACATATGACATCCAACTATAAAATAATAAATCATTCTATACTCTGTATATCATGCACAAGAAAATCTCTCATCACTTTATAGTTACATCTCAAATGTAAGTTTTAGATAGTTCATGTAATGTGTTTGCAGACTTTTGTTTTCTAGAATGTTAGATTGCATTATGTATCCATGAGACATAGGTGATAATTTTTAGACCTGCTTTGAGTGTGAAGACTCTGACCGGAGTACATGTTTTCTTTTCCTTTATAGTAATAATTATCCACCTTAAGATGCTTTTCTTATATTTTTACATGTGCAAGTTCTAGTTCCATAACTAGCATTTAAGTGTCCTGAGAGCAAAGATTGTATTTATACCTCTATAAGCACAGGGCCTTTGCACACTGTAGAAACTCAATAAATAATTGGTGATGGGTCAAGATCAGAAAAATAATAATTCTTTTTTATGGTATATAAATAGAATTTGTTGCAATTATCACCTAATTTTGAGGAGTCAGAGGATAATAAATGATCATAGATTTAGAGTTGGAAAAAACTTTAGGAGTTATCTAGTCAAACCCACTAATCTTACAATGAGAACAGTTTGAGGCCCAGAGAAGTGAAGTGATTCATTAAATTCAGATCTTGATTCTGCTCTTTACTTTGTTTGTAATAGTAGCCAAATCACTTCACCTTTCTGAGTCTCACTTTCCCCCTATATAAAATGAAGGGTCTAGATTACCTCTAATGTCAATTCCCAGCTCCAGATCAGTGATCCTATGATGCATTTAAAAAGGGAACCTGATTGACCAAAGAGCAAGTCTAAAGTTATTTGTTAGCCTGGGGTGAGGGAGAAGGCTCTTCATAAGCAAAGCACCTACTGTTACTAAAGTATATACCACCACCGTGCCTTTTGCCTCCAGCTCACACTCATGAACCCCTCCCTGCCATGCCTTCAGAAGGCAACAGTATGTTATAGAATACATTTGTCTATTCCATCTTGAGCTTCACCCCAGGTAGGTCATATATAGTCTTTGAGTAGAGTCTGGGTACCATTCTACCCCCTTTATTAGTCAAACACAGTTAGATTTCAGAAAACTTTGGAGCAAAGATGTTTCTCTTTTCATAAGGGAGAGCAAACAAACAAACCCAGAAATCAATATCTCCATCAATAAGTATGGTCCACAGGCTGATTGCTTGAATATTCTGTTTCTCCAAAGATGAATAATTGTGCTCATGCCTGTGCTTACCACATTCATCCCAGCCCACCCTATGCACATTGACCCATAGGTTACTGTGACATTTCTGTATCTGTAATGTACTGTGTTGTGGTATCCATTTATCCATTTCTATATATAGTTAGTCTTTTTTTTTCCAGTGTGGACGGTTAGCACCTGTGACACCGAGCCAATTGTCAGATTGTTCACAGATTCCAGCAGGAACATGAGAATGTGTACCTAGGTTTTGTCACTTTACTTACATTAATTAAGAATAAAATAGCCACTCACTAAATTGGGAAGCCTGTACAAAGGAGATCTCAATAAGAATGTTTTCTATGTAGATAATCACTGGGTACGCTGCACATGCCCTCCTATTTAATGACACAGGAGTTTCTGAGATGCCCCAACATCCTAGACTTCTGCTATTTCCTCCACTATTTTTGCTGACCACCAAAGAACCAACAGAAACAACTCCATGTAATTCTGCGCCACTGCCCCCCTTCCACCTGAAATGTACTTTCATTTTAAAATCAAACAGTTACTCTGCATTTTTCCCACGTGTTTGGAGCTAGTTCTTCACTCATGATAATTCCCTGTGCATCTTAACACCTGGGCTAAAGCCCCTAAAAGAATTTAATTATTTGAGTTTTCCCTTGGGGTTCAGAGGTCCCCCTCTTTTCAGTTTTGACACATATTTAAATCAAATTTCCCCCATCAGGCTCCTGTAATCTATAAAGCACTAACCCTAGCTGATATATGACAATACAGGATGCTTCTCACTCGGTCCTAGAAAATGAAGCTTTGTCTAGGTCTATAATACATAATCCATTCTCTCTCTAGACTCTTGTGTGGCATGCTTAGTGGATCTAGTCATGGTTAGGCTAGGCCTGATTTTCCATGTACCCAGCTCTATTCACTCCCAGAATGTGTTCTTCTAGAGTTCAGCCATACTGAGACAGATTTGATTCTTTATTCCTTTCATTCAGTGATGGGATACCTGCTCTAAGAGTGCTTCTTACCTTAGCATTTTCTGTTCACAGATTTGTTCATAGAGGAGAAAACCCTATGGCCTCATACAGTGGATTATTATCCATGCAAATGATGATACTTTAGCCCAGTTTGTTACACTAAATTGCACGTCTTATGACATTGTTCTTTAGGGTATGGCTTATCCTACCTATTGTTCACTCCTTTTCATTCTCTTTTACTAGATCATCTTTTATCTTTATCCTCCCTAAGCAGGGAGTCCCTCAAGGCTTTTTCATGGACCCTTTTTTCTTCTCACTCTTCATTCCCTTCCATAGTGATTTCATCGGCTCCCATGGGTTCAGTTATCTCTATGAAGATGATTTCCATGTGAGCATAACTAGCCATACTCCATGGTGCAGGAGAGAAAAAGCATTAAATCTGTAGTCCCAGGACCTGAGTTCTAATTCCATACCTGCTAGCCATTACTCATATGATGTCAGGCAACTCCGTTAACCTCTCTAGGCCTCAGTTTCTTCATCTATAAGTAGGTTGAACTAGATGACCTCTAATGTCAATGCCAACTCTAGATTTATGATCCTAATCTCTCTTCTTGACTCCATTCTTACATAATCAGCTGCCTGCTGGACATTTCTGCCTAGATATATCTCAAACTCAACATGGCCAAGTGAAACCTAACCTCACCCCTCCATATCGAGCTGTCACCAGATAGCTTCATCCCATCCAAATGTCTGACAAGGACACTGGGACCTAGAAAGAGGAGGCATCCTGCCATTTTTCCTGCCTCTGCCCACATATCACATTTACCCACCCTCACTCCTCTGCTTTTTACTCTTTCTTAGGAAATAGTGATTAGTAACAATCATCTGCAAAATGGATCAGATCCTCTCTGAATCCCTGTAATTCTGAATCATAGAAGCCCTTCCCTAGCCATGACCCCTGACTCCCTCTTCTACTTTTGTATTAGCCTTGTCCATCAACAGTCAGTATCCAGCTCTATCCTCCACTTCTGTTATGATCTGTGGAACTTTTGTTCTGTTTTTTATTATATTGTTCCCTAAATCCACTCCTCTTCCCATTTTCCCTTTTTCTACAGAAAGAAAATCACCATTTTTTTACTTACTCAGGTTCAAGATCTAGGGATTTTCCTTGACTCTTCATTCTTCCTCACTCTCCATATACAATGAGTTGTCAAGTATTGTTGATTGTCCTCAACATCTTTTGAAATCTCCTCTCTACAGTCTTCCAGGCCCTCAAACAGTCATCTCTAAAATCCATCTTCTTTACAGATGTCAAATAGATATTGTCACTTCCATGCTGTGCTAATTGTGGAAGAAAAAAGGCCTTAACATAGTGAGGTAAATAAAAATAAACAAGCTCTCCTCCTTCTCTCCCCCAAAGAAAAGACCTCAATTAAATCTACTCCACTAGAGAAGAACAACCTCAGATTTAAGTGAGGATTTTTTTAAAAGGCCTCTCCTTCCTTTCTCTGCTCATACAAAGGAAAGGATTTCAAATAAGGTCTGTTGCTAGAGAAGAGAACTTTGGTGTTCATAGTAAAGGAAAATGGACAAGTCAAAATCTTAGGGAGATTCTGACCTAAAGAAAGACTCCTGAGGCAAAGGAATGATCCTCACCTTGATCTGATCCCCAGAGTTGGGGAGACCTAGAACTCAACTTCTGAGGCACCACCAACAAAAATGAGGAAACAAAAAAAATAATAGTAAAGAACTTTTATGATGCCAGGAATGACCAAAACACAAACCCAGAAGAGAAGAATAACTCAAAAATATCTACAATCAAAACCTCAAAGAAAAAAAAAAACAACTTGCCCACAAAAACAAATAGAATCCTTTGAAGAAATTATGTAATAATTTTTAAATGATATTATAAAAGAAATACAGCTGTTGAAGAGAGATTTGGGGAAGGGATCAACAAATTAACAGAAGAGGTACAAAACTTTAGTAAAGAAGTCCCTAAAAATCAGAATGGACCAAATACAAATTAACAACTTCAGGAGACAGAATTCTTAAAACAAAGTCAAAAGAATGAAAAATAGAGGAAAATAAAAGATATTGTATCAAAGTTAACTGACATTAAAAACATAATAATAATAGCTAACATTTATATAGCATTTACTATGTGCCAGGCAGAGTGCTAAGTACTTTACAATTATCTCATTTGATCCTCACAACAACCTTTAGAGTAAGGTGCTATTATCATCCCCATTTTATAGATAACAAAACTGAGGCTAACAGGTTGAATGATTTGCCCAGAGTCACACAGATTGTAAGCGTCTGAGGCCAGATTTCAGCTCAGGTCTTCATGTCTCCAGGTCATGCATTCCATCTACTCTACTACTTTGCTGGCACAAATCAAGGAGCGATAACATAAGAGTTACAAGCTTACCTAAAATACGTGACCAAAAAAAGAATCTTGGCATTATATTTCAAGAAATCATTCAAGAAAATTGCCCGGATATATTAGAACAAGGTGACAATGTGACACTAGAAAGAATACACTGATCATTTCCTGAAAGAAACCTCAAAATGAAAACTCCCAGGAATGTCATTGCAAAAATACA